GAACTAAACTTAAAGTTACATTAAGGTTATACATAAATACTGATATTTTGCTCATGGCAGAAATAATGCTGTGCATTACTTATTATTTTATAAATTTCAAAAGCATTGTCAAGTAGTTTGTTAGATTTGTTCTTCCCCTGATGTGCCTTTCCTGAAAGAGGAAAATGAGAGGGAAGCAGTGTGATTAGGAGGCCTGCCCAGAGGCCACACAGATACGTGGTAGAGCCAGACTGGCTTCTGACTCAAAAGTCCCAGTGCTACTTTACATAGGAAGTATATATGTCCCCAGTGGAGACTGTCATGTGTAACACCTAAGTACATGGTGAATAATTAATCAAAATTAACCCTGGCCTTTCACTTAACTCCAGAGTTGTAAAGACCCTAGTGGTATCCTACTAATCAATGTGTGGTCAGACCATTGAAGGACTGGGACCCTTCTCATCAACCTCCGCAAATGTTTAGGAATCACGGAGGATCAGGCTGGGAATTGTGTGCTCCTTTCTCTGATCAAGAACACAATTAGAGAATTTTAGAGCTAGAATAGAGCAAGGAGTATTACAGCCTGTCATTTTACAAATTAGGATATTAAGGTCCAGAGAGATTAATCATTTATTCACAGTAATATAGCTAGTTAAGAGTAGAGGCAAATTAGAATAGTTTTTTGTTTTCTAGTGCTTCGTTATTTTCATTACTGGTATCTGTCCTTTAGTAGATCCCACAAAATATTAGGATTAAGTGTTTGACAATGTAGATAAGGTGGTTTAATATTAAAAGGTGAGATGCTTAATTATTTTATTAGTTTTTTAGTCAGATTACTGCCTTTTAAAAATCATATGCTTAAAATATAAGCAGTTTCCTGTGGCTAAATCTAACATGTTTCAAGTTTAAAAAATTGTAGAGAATCTGTTTTGAAAGATTGTCATCAAGAATTTTTTGTAAAGATCCCACAACGGTTGGTTTGTATTCTGAACTGTCCCTAATTGTTACAGAAAAAAAGTGAGGTTCAGCTGCCTGCCATCAAATATAGGCATAAGACAAAGGTTGTTTGGGAAGGAAAAAGGTCTTTATTAAAATGTTGCACAACTTGGGAAAATGTAGGACTCCCCAGCTCCAGGCTCCTCTCTTCTACAAAACATAGACAAAACCTATTTGTCTCCCAAAAGACTCAAACCCAGAATCAAGTCCAGAAATCCCACTCCATCTTTATCTGTCCTTCTGGAACCCAAGGCTGCTAAGCGGACAGCTCTCCAGCTTCAGGCTCCCTCCCTCGAGAGTCTACTTGTACAGGACCAGGGACACCATTGCTGCACCGCAGCTTCTTGCACTGGGGGCCCGGAGCCTCTGCTAACAACCGTACCTGGTCATGCAGGGGCTCTGTCCATGGATCCCAGAGGAAGAGAACAGCAAGTCTCTGCCCCCCCTGTATTTAAATCTCCCAGGGCAAGCCTCTGTGCTCTCTGAAAGCATCCAGCTCCCCAGGTAATCCCTCCTGTCTCTGATTAGACTGGCGGGTCAGCACCTTCCCCTGCAGCCATGTTAACCTTTAGGTACACAGGCTGGTATGACCTGTGGTTTTTCTTTAAATCAGGAACCAGAAAGGGATAGGAGGGGTTATCCCTTCATCACACTCTAGCCTTGTGCAGACTCCATGCAAGGACCCCAGCTGCAGCACCTCTGGCCAGGTTGGGTAAATCTGTCCTCTAAATGCTGCCCTACATTGGTTACTGGGGCAATGTGATGTTTGTTTACCCTTTACCAGGGATGCATCCTCTGCCGTGCTGCCCCAGGGCCCTCCCCTCTGCCTAGTGATCTCGCCATGTCTCCATGTGTCAGTGTATCTGATGGGCCACGCTATAAATCTCTAATTCTAAATTCTCAATTTACCATGTTGTTAGAGGAAACACTGTTAAATCTCTAATCTTCATGAAAGAAAATCTTCCACCTGCTTTTAATTGATTTAGGTGCAATTCTAAAAGTAATCTGTGAAATTTAGAAAATGTTATTAAAAAAACATTTTTAAGCCATAGAATTTTGCATTGGACTTACCTGTATCTCCCTTGACATCCAGGAAAGGGTTGTGTAAGGTGTGTCCTTTAGTAGGAAATCCTGTGTTTGTTTATTTTTTAATATATTTTGTTGATTATGCTATCACAGTTGTCCCAATTTTTCCCCCTTTTGCCGCCTTCCACCCAGTACTCTCATTCCCTCTAGCAGTCCCACCACTTGGTTGATATCCTTGGGTCATGCATGGGAGTGCTTTGACTTCTCCATTTCCTATGCAGTTTTTAACGTCTCCCTGTCTATTTTGTACCTACCAGTTATGCTTCTTGATCCCTGCACTTTCCCCCCCATTCACCCCTTCCTCCTCCCAGCTGATAACCCTCCAAATTATTTCCATATATATGATTCTGCTCCTGTTCTGGTTGTTTGCTTAGTTTGTTTTTGCTTCTATTTTTAGATTCAGTTGTTGATAGTTATGCATATTTTGCCATTTTAATATTCATAGTTTTGATCTTTTTCTTTCGTAAGTCCCTTTAACATTGTATGTAATAATGGCTTAGCGATGATGAACTCCTTTAGCTTTCCTTGTCTGGGAAGCGCTTTATCTGCCCTTCCATTCTAAACAATAGCTTTGCTGGATAGAGTAATCTAGGTTATAGGTTCTTGCTTTCATCACTTCGACGACTTCTTGCCATTCCCTTCTAGCCTGCAAAGTTTCTTTTGAGATATCAGCCAAGTCTTCTGGGAACACCTTTGTAGTTAACTCTCTGCTTTTCTCTGGCTGCTTTTAAGATTCTCTCTTTATCTTTAACCTTTGGCATTTTAATTATACCTAGGGTGGGGCAACTTGCTTTGCCTTTTTTGTGGCTTTGTGTGGGAGGAGGGCTTAGGCAGGGGATAGTGCTACTGCTTGGCTTCCGGAGGTTTGCCCAGCACTCGCCCTCTTTCCAGACACTTCAGTTACTCTCTGTATGTGACTGGCACCCTTCCAGCTGTTGCCCTGGTGCTGAATTCCAGAAGGGGTAGGTTTGTCTAAGTTTTAAGTCCGTGCGGGCCCTTTGAGCAGTCTCCTGAAAATTGGCAATTTCTTCTACTGCTCCAACCCTCAATGATTTTTACAGCTAGAAGTTATGGGGATTTATCTCCCTGGCGCTGGAACCTTGGGCTGTGTCGTCTGGCCTGGGACTGGGATCCTTTGCTCCTGAGGTATATCTTTCCCGATTTTTATCCACCACATGTGAATGTAGAACTGTCCGTTCCACTGCCTCTCGGTGCCACACTGGGTCTTGGCGCCTGTCTGCCCTTCTCTGCGTCTCCACCCCTCATGCCCCCTGGATGAATGTGGCTTTAAATCCTTGGTTGTTGGACTTCCATACAGTTTAATTTCTGGTTGTTCTGGGTGTTAATTTGTTTTGAGCTATGGTTGTAATTTTTTCTGTAGTTCTGCTAGGAGGAGAAAAATATTTACCTATGCCTCCATCTTTACTGGAAGTCCAAAATCTTTTGTTTCTGTAGTCATCAAATATAAATATCAAATTTTACATAGAAAATGCCACATTATTCACTTGAATTGTTTGCTTAGTGCAAAAACTGAACTTCTGAAATGAGGATTAGAAAGTTAAGAACATGACCAAATCCGGTTTTGAATTATATTTAAGGAGCATGATCACCATTAATAGTGCGGTGATATTTTAGTCTAAGATTGTTCTTTATTAGAAGCCCCTTAATATAGCTTTGAATGTATTTTTAGTTTATCTTTAATAACATTTTATCTTAAAAGAGGGGAAAATATACTTTCTTATGAAAAGCAACTCCACTAATTAAAATATTTTTAAACTTTCAGTAAACTTTTATATTTTATAGTTGATAACTTTGACTTTTTAAAGACTATAATGCACTATCTTTGCAGTGCTTGGCATACGGTTTGTGTTTATTATGAGCTTAATAGTAAAACTTTAAGTTTTAAAGTGAGCTATGACCCAATCATCAGGCAGGAATTAGCTTTGTGCTTAATAATTGTCTTTCATGCACAAGCATGCAAATAAAGGGATTGTTTTTCCTTATAGTTGATAGCTAAACATGGCATATTCTTTAATAACTCATCTCTCTACATACTCAACATATACACATATATACATATTATATCCACATTCACATTCCCAGTTTGGCTGCTGCTTTTTCCCATTTACCCAATTTCATTTTCTGAAGTAATATGGATTTTTATGATATATTACTATCTAAACTACTCCCATATAACAAAATAAACTTGTTTGACTTTATGGCTCTACCATGGTGGAGGATGCATCCACCAAATTAGTGGTTCTCAGTTCTGTGTATCACACAAGGATTATTTTCTCTTTTCACATGTGATTGTCCAAGCCCAACTCTCAGGGCTTTTATGTGGACTTGGGTGAGGACCCAAAGGCATCTGTATTTTTTTCTAGACTATACAATTGAGTCTGTTAGGCTGTCAGAACTCTTTCAGGGTTTTTGTTTTGTTTTTCTATTACTGAATGAGAACACTAGGTGGTGCCATCTAATAACCTCAACAAATTTAAACTGCCATGAGTGTGCATCGAGTTGTAAATTTGGAATGAATGGCAAGTTTATACTAAACAGTTGGTTAGTAACAAAAAAGGATCTAGGATCCTAACTTGCCATCCAGTGTCTATTGTGTTTATTCAGTTCTGGGCTTTGATGATAGGTAGGTACCCTTTGCTTAATTATAAACATAATGCACATATTTTTGTATCTTTTACTCTTGACTATATATATTTCCTCATGTTGCTACATACTTTCCCCTAATTATTACTTAATAGCAATATAGTGTTCCTTTTGAGTATATACAGTATGTTATATTTAATATGTCTAACAATCCCTGTGTGGTACACAGTCAGAATTGAGAACCACTGATTTAGTGGAGAGTTTTAAATTTGTGAGTAAGGTTTCCTAAATTGTTCAAAGAATTAATGTATAAGCTACTATTCTATGTATTTCAGGGTATATAAAGCTGAATAGAGCACAGTACCCGATTTAAAGAATAGAAGAGTGGCTGGAGCTCCGCGTTGGTCAGGCCTGAGTGGGCCCAAGGCGGACGTGAGCAGGGTCGGACCAAGATGGCGGTGCAGGCGGTTCATCTTGAGTCGGATGCTTTCCTAGTTTGTCTCAACCATGCTCTGAGCACAGAGAAGGAGGAGGTGATGGGACTGTGTATAGGGGAGTTGAATGATGACACAAGGAATGACTCTAAATTTACATGTGCTGGAACTAAAATGCGCACAGTTGCTGAAAAGGTTGACACCGTCAGAATTGTTCACATTCATTCTGTCATCATCTTGCAACGTTCTGATAAGCGGAAGGATCGCGTTGAAATTTCTCCAGAGCAGCTGTCTGCAGCCTCAACAGAGGCGGAGAGGTTGGCTGAACTAACAGGTTGCCCCATGAGAGTTGTGGGCTGGTATCATTCCCATCCTCATATAACTGTTTGGCCTTCACATGTTGATGTTCGCACACAAGCCATGTACCAGATGATGGATCAAGGCTTTGTAGGACTTATTTTTTCCTGTTTCATAGAAGATAAAAACACAAAGACTGGTGGGGTACTCTACACTTGCTTTCAGTCCATTCAGCCTCAAAAGAACTCAGAGTATGAGAGAATTGAAATCCCAGTCCATATTGTACCTCATGTAACCATTGGGAAAGTGTGCCTTGAATCAACAGTGGAACTACCCAAGATCCTGTGCCAAGAGGAACAGGATGCATATAGAAGGACTCACAGTCACACACATCTGGACTCAATAACCAAGATCCATAATGGCTCAGTGTTTACCAAGAATCTGTGCAGTCAGATGTCAGCAGTCAGCGGGCCTCTCCTACAGTGGTTGGAGGACAGACTGGAGCAAAACCAACAGCATTTGCAGGAGCTGCAACAAGAAAAGGAAAAGCTTATGCAAGAACTTTATTCTCTAGAATAAAGTGGGATACAAAATGGGGGAAATGAAAGTATCTAGATATAAAATTAAATAAGCTAAATCAATTTTGAAGACAAAGCGGAAGGACTCACATTACCTGACTTCAAGACTTATTATAAAGGAAGAGTAATCAAGATGGTATAGCATATGACCAGCTGATTTTTGACAAGTGCAAAAGCAATTCAGTGGAGGAAAGATAATCTTTTCAGCAAATGGTGCTGGAGTAATTGGACACACAAAGGCAAAAAATAAACTTTGACATAAAGTGCACACCTTATATAAAAAAAACTCAAAATGTATCATGGACTTAGATGTAAGATGTAAAACTATAAAAACTTTAGAAATAGCCCTGGCTAACGTGGCTCAGTGGATTAGGTGCTGGCCTGCAAACCGAAAAATCACCAGTTCAATTCCCAGTCCAAGCATATGCCTGAGTTGCCAGCCAGGTTCCCCAGTTGATGGCATGTGAGAGGCAACCAATCAATGTATATCTTGCACATTGATGTTTCTTTCCATCTCTCCCTCCCTTCCCCTCTCTCTAAAAAAAGATTAATAAATATATAAAGTCTTTAGTAAATAAAAATTTACCAAAAAAATTACAAATAAAATCACAGAAAAATTGTTATTGTCTTGGGCTACACAACAGGTTTACAGCCTTCACCCCAAAGTACAATTCTAAAAAGGAAAAGTTGTTATATTGGACTTTATCAAAATGAAAAACTTCTGCAAAAAATTTAAGAGGATTAAATTATTGAGAGAATTATTTCCAAATCATATATCTGATCAATCTAGAATACGTAACAGTAAAAACCAACAATCCAATTAGAGAATGAGCAAAGTACATAGACATTTCACTGAAGAGAATAGCATGTAAGCACAAGAAAAGATGCAAAACATACATATACCATATGACCTAGCAGTTTAACTCCTAGACATTTTATCACAGAGAAGTGAAAACCTATGTTGGCAAGAAAACTTGTACACACATGTTCTTATCGTCTTTATTTGTAATAGCCCAAAACAAGAAGCAGCCCACATGTCCTGCAATTGAGTGGTTAAACCAACCATAGAATACTATCCAATGAAAAGAAATACACACACAACCTGGATGGACCTCAAGGGTATCGTGATGAATTTTTTTTTAAAAATCTCAAAAGTTCACATACTGTATAATTGTTTCATATAACACTCTTGAAATGACACAATTATAGAAATATAGAACAGGTTAATAGTTACCAGGCATAGGGACTGGAGGGGTATAGAATATATGTGACTATTAAGGGCTAACACAAGGAGTTCCTTTGTGTTGGTGGAACAGTCCTGTACCTTGATTGTGGTGGTAATTAAATGAATTTATATATGCCAAAACTACATAGTCCTACACACACCCGCAAGTGAATGCCATGTAAGATTGAAATAAGTTCTGCAATTTGGTAAGGAGTATTGTACCATTGTATCATGTGAAACTGGATAAGGTTTGCAGTCTAGTAAGGAGTATTGTACCATTTTCAATGTGTTGGTTTTGAAGTAGAACTATACTTATCTAAGATCTTATTACTGGGGGATACTGGGTGAAGGGTACATGGGACTCACTGTACTATTTGCAACTTCTGTAAGACTATTGCAAAATAAAAAGTTATAAGTATTAAAAAACAGAAGAGTAAAAACCAGTTATTATGAATTAGTCATGTACCAGTCATAAGAGATAGGAAGCTAGTTCCTCAGCCTTTTTTTAAATAAACTTGATTTTTTACTAGCTATACAAGTACACCCTGTTAATACTACATTTCTACCTGATACATCTATCATGCTGTTTTTTAATTGTTGTGAGACTATTTTTTATTTTACATTTAAAAAAATTTATTCCAGCTTTATTGAGGGATCACTGATACATAACATGTAAGTTTAAGAGGTACGGGATGATGATTTGATAGATGTATATGTTGCAAAGTGATTACTACATAAGGTTAGGTAACACCTCTATCCCCTCACATAATTACCTTTTTGTGTGTGTCTGTGTGCTAATAACATTTAAGACCTACTCTCAATAACTTTCAAGTATATAATACAATACTGTTAACTATAATGACCATGCTATGCATTAGATTCCCAAAATTTGCCTTAAAATTCTGTATATTTGGCCAGTATGTCCCCACTTCCTCCCCCCCCATCCCCTAAACACCACTATCTACTAGTTTAATGATTTCAGCTTTTATACTTCACATATAAGTGAGAACAGAATTTGTCTCTAACTTACTTCACTTAGTATAATGCCCTCAAGGCACATTCATATTGTTGCAAAAGGCAGAATTTCCTTTTTGATGGCTGAATAATAATTCTCTGTGTATGTGTGACATTTTCTTTGTCCATTCATCTCTTGATGGATATTTAAGTTGTGTCCCTGCCTTTGTTTTTGTGAATAATGAATGCTACAATGGACATGAGAGTACAGATATCTCTCTGAGATAGTGATGTCATTTTCTTTGGATAAATACCCAGTAGTGGGGTTGCTGGATCATATAGTGGTTCTATTTTTAATTTTTTGAGGACCTTCCATACTGTTTTTCATAGTATCTGTACCACTTGATATTTCCACCAGCAGTGCACAAGACTTCCCTTTTCATGATTGTAACTATATTAAGTTCCTAGTTATATTTCATTGGTATCTTAAAAATGAAAGTTTTTTAGATAGAAAAAATATGAGTAAAATTTTGAACAAGTAGAGACAAAGTGGTAACTTAATGTGTTCTACATCAAAGCAGGTTATTAGACTCATAATGAGGTTTGTCTAATGCTAAACTACAAAGTACATACATTTTTGTGACTATAGATCAGTTTATACCTTCCACTTGCTCCCCCGTAAAGAAGCAATGTTTTAAAGTAAAAAAAAAACAAACAAAAAAACCCTGGATGGGAATAAGGATTCTAGATACTTTTGTGTTACTAACAAAGAATTACCTTGAACATGTCACTGAAATTGTGGGCTTCTGCTTTCTGTTCTGTAGAATGAGGGGCTGAATATGTTGATCAGAGAAGAAAAGTGAAAGCATTTTGTATACAGTAAGGTGGGTTGTAAACTAAAGGTACATTGTAGAAAATCATTATTTTGTCCTGACTTGTTTGGAAATTAAATGAGGAAATTTCCATAAAGCTCCTAGAACAGACCTGGCACATAGTAAGCATTCAGCATTAGCTAGTATGAAAACAGAGATAGTGACAACAGCTTTGGTACTAAAATACTCTGTTTCTGAAAGATTGTGTAATTGAACTGCTTTAGCATCTGTACAAAAGTAAGGGATACTTAAAGTCCAATGTTTTTATTTTCTAGGATCAAATCTAAATCGCTGTGGTTTCCGAGGCTCTTCATACCTGGGTATTCCATTCAATCCCTCAAAGGTCAGTTCTCTTTGGATCAGGAGAAAGGAGGAGGGAGGTGGGGAGATTTCAGTGAGGAAAGAATACTAAGAAAGGATACCAAAAGTACCAGGCTTCCAAGTTTCAATACAACGAAAAACTGTCTAATGTATATTATGAACTGGAACTCTTTAAGGGAAAGCTGTACCCACCTTGCTTCCTGGAATAATGCGCAATACATATACACAAAAATTATGCCTCTCTCATGTCCTGTGTGTGTGTGTGTGTAAATTATTGGTGATTTCCTGGAGGAAATGGAATTAAAGCACTTACGTGCTTGATACTTGCTCCCTAAGAAGCCCATGCACTTGTGTTAGAGGGACTTTAGAGATGCTTCTCATTTCTTAGTTTAAAAAACAAACAAAAACCAAAAAAAACCTCTTGCTAGAGCAGTAATTGAAGACCTGAGTAGCAATGAATTTGTTGACCTCCGTGGCAATAGGCAGAATATCTTCAGGATTATAACCAGAGGCTTTGGTACCAGCACACACAGATATAGAAAGCATTGAATCCTAACAAAGTGAGGAACTTTTTCTTCTTTAAAGAAACAGACCCAGAACAAGCTTTGTAGATATTTCATCTGTGTGCAAAACACCAATATTTTTCTACAGTGGAAAGCTAGAAAAACTTTATAATTTTGTCAGTAGGTTTCACAAAGCAGAAACTTTTTCCTTGATGAGGTCAGTTTGCTTTTGTATTGGTTACAAGGTAGTATCTGGCTATATTGAGTGTGTCAAGGTTTTCACCTCCAGTTGCAGTCTGAAGGCAAACAGCATATGCTGCCACTTTTTCTATACTCTGCTTCAAAATTTTGGAATAAATAGTAATTTTGTAGAATGTGACATGAGTTAATAGAGGCACTACTTGAACTTTTTTCCTTTGCCTTAAGCTATAGACCAACTTGCCTATGTTACAGTGATGAATTTGCCAAGGTGTTTTCAATCATGTATGCCTATTGCTTTTAGCAGGGAATCTAAAAAAGGATTTGTAAAATATGAATATATATAAAATTGAGGATTGTTTTTCTCAATCTGATGTCTATAGACAACATTTTAATTTTACCTATTCACTGAACTTATTTAATGAAATGAGTTTTTTATTTCATTTTACTAATTAACATAATTAATTTTGAATTCAGAATCCTGGAACAGCTCATCCTTATGACAGTGGCCACATAGCAATGACCTACACTGGCCTTTCATGCTTAGTTATTCTTGGAGACGACCTAAGCAGAGTAAATAAAGAAGCTTGCTTAGCAGGCTTGAGAGCCCTTCAGCTGGAAGATGGAAGGTATGAGTCATTCTTTTTACTTTCTTTTTTAAAAGAAAAATCTTTTGAAACTAAAAAAATGAATATAATTCTATATTAGAACTTTAAAGCTTATCATAAATTCTTATTAATCTGTACTTTTATTCCTTTAGTGATAGGAGGAGAAATGGATGAACATTGAATATTGTATTACAGTGTAGGTAATTTCTTGACACTTTTAAAGGATAGAAAAAGAAGTTAATGAGATCATTAATATTTGATGGTTTGTGTGGTGTGTCTAATTAAAGAAGAATTTTCCTGGAGAATTAAGGTGAAACTTTTTAAAGTCCAGGAAGTGATAAAGCAGTAGTGTTATTGTCTAAAGAAAAGACTGCAAATAAATCCTGCTATGTTTTAATTTCTTTGTCTTATCTACTGTTATCGCTACTTTCCTGTAAATGTTTTTAAAATGCTTCTCTTGATGAGGGGAAAGTTAATATCAACATATAAATTGACATCAATTGGAAATACTAGAATACTAAATAAGTATTTAACTCATGTACATGTGACTAATTTCTCAGTACTTCAGCAGTCTTTGTTTACAGCTACCTTATCTTTGTTTATAAATGAAGGAATAGATAAGAGATAACAGACTATTACCTCTCTAAAACTAATTAAGTAGGTAAAATATTAAATTCAAACACTCTGCTTAATTAATTAATGGTTATCCATATATAGTTAGAAGAAATTTCACATAACAAAACCTGGTTTTAACTGCTACTTTTTTTTTTGTTTGTTTTTTGTTTTTTTTGTTTTGCCTTTGTGCTGTAGCTTTTTCGGGCTGAGAACAAACTTACTCTTAGAGGTGGCATCTGGGAGGAATAACTGGTAGTATGTAAAGCTACCCAGAAATCAGAACGTTGGAGTAATGATTTAGAGATAATTATAGATTATTCAAGTTAATAGTTCTTTATTGAATAATACAAGTAGTATATGGTCTTTTAATCCATATTTAGATTTTTAAATCTGTTTGTGATAGAATAATATTATAGTACAGTATTATTAGTAAATCATATTGTTGTTATTTTCAGTTTTTGTGCAGTACCTGAAGGCAGCGAAAATGACATGCGATTTGTGTACTGTGCTTCCTGTATTTGCTATATGCTGAACAACTGGTCTGGCATGGATATGAAAAAAGCCATCAATTATATTAGAAGAAGTATGGTGAGTTATGTTGCTAAATTGACTTTTTTTTTTATGTTATTATTACTGGTATATCAGGGCTGCAGTTTAATGCATGCCTCATCTCTTCCAACAAGAATAGGGAAATAAGGACAGTAAGATCGCTTTTTGGTTATATCATGTATCAGAATAGACGTACATACATAATCTTCAAAGACAGATGAACTCTTTGACCATTAAAATTTAAATGTGATCTGATTGTATCTAAAGAAACAATGTCTTTTCCAAAAGATTTGTCTGCTTTAGAAGCAGGAAAAAATAGTAAAATCTCAAAGGCAAATATTTATAAACTGTCCTAGCAGGGACCCGTGGGGAGCTTTGACCAAGGGTTACAGAAAATTATGGCATCCTTGGTGAGGTTATTCCTATATTGTGTGTGAGATGTGAGTTCGTTAAGACATTTGACTTGCAAGACCCAAGTATAACAAGGTTTACTGGACCAACAATAGATTTTTTAATCACTTTTGGTTTCCTAGTAATTTGTTTTAATCTAAGGTTTATTTTAAGGAGAATACCAAATAGATACGTTATTTTTTCATATAATACAATTTAATCTTTTTATTGACAGCTGTAAGAAAATCTTAGTCTCGGCTAGAATTATCTTTTTCTCTACTGTTTAGTCTCTTATATAAAATAGGAGACATGGAAGTCCTGCTTCCCAGGTTTTATTACTTTCCAAATAAGAATTTTTTAAAATTTTATAAATAGAATATTTTAGGCTGTTAATTTAACTTTTTTACTAGTTAGAATTTCAAAATGAAAATGTAAATTCTTAGAGAAATTATTTTTAACTGAATGTGTGCATGTGAATCAGAGTTTGTAGAAGGCACAAATAGTACAACTTTTTAAAAAGCTGTGGAGGCAGAAAGAACAAACCTTTAAAGGAGTTTTAAAAGGAAAAGAGATTTATGTCATATACAGGGTGGGTGATAGGACCTTCCGCATCAATACTACAGAAGCAACACTATATTCTTCTTGGTGCATTGTATTTGGAGGTACAGATGTTGATCTGTTTATTTACTGGTAATGTTAACTTTGATCACTTAGTTAAGTTGATGTATGCCAGATTTTTCTCTGTAAAATTAGCACTTTTCCCTTTGTAATTATTCAGCATCTTATTGTGAGATATTTGGAGACTATAATTTTTATCTGCTAGTGTCAATACTAACACTAGTATCATGCATTGATGATTTTCCAGCACTGTCATTCCTTCTGTAATTATCAATTGAAATTCTTTTAGCAAAAGCGTTTTCTTTGCATCTGTCTATCTATCTATCTATCTACATTTCTCTATGGACACTAGATTCTTGTTTTATTCAAGTTTATTATCAGTTACCAGTATGTATTTTGCTGCTCATATTGTCCCAGATTTTGCCAGTGAGAAACCTTTCAGCAGGCTCTTTGTCCTTTTGATATGCCTGCTTCATTCTTTGAATATCTTGCTTTCTGGCACAAGATGTTTCCAGGTTCATCTTTTACTTTCCCAGCCTCAGCCCTGGACTTGGTCATGTCTTCAAAGAGCACTTTGAAAAAATGATCTTCTTATTTTTCTTATTTTCTTATCTTTCCAACAAGAAATGTCTTTCTTATTGGAGGTGGTTGTTTAGAAACCAGGATTTTGGCACTGGATATGCTCATTGGTATGGGGATATCATTGTTTCTAACCCCTTCCTCAGCAGGCAGAGCTAGGAAATGTATATATGTATGCATGTACACAGATACCGCCTTATAAAAACCTATATCTATTTCTGTATCTATTTATCTATTTACATATTAAAAACCAGGAGTCGATAGTGATACCTCAGATTTCAATTCATTATCTCAAGGTTCATTTTAATCTTTCTTTTTTCATTTTAACTTCCTTCTCTGACATTGATAAACAGGGCTCCATTATCCAGAATGATTCTTTCTGTTTAAAGCCTGAAGTTATATATTCAAAATATATTTAAGAAATACTTAGCCCCAGTTGGTGTGTCCCAGTTGGTTGAAGTATCATCCTGTAAACGGAAAGGTCCCAGTTCAATTCCTGGTCAGGCCACGTACCTGGGTTGCAGGTTTTGTCACAGGTAGGGATGTGTATATGAGACAGCCAATCAATGTTTCTGTCTCACATTGATGTTTCTCTCCTCCCCTTCCCCCGCTCTCTCCATCCTTTCCCCATCTCTCTAAAATCAATAAGCATGTCCTCAGGTGAGGATTTTTAAAAAAAAAAGGATAAAAAGCTTAGTTTCCTTCTTTTATTTCCCCCCTTTCAGTGTTCTGTTATTTATTGCAAAAAAAAAAAAAATGAAGTTTATTTCGGTTTCTTTTTAGGATTCCCCCCGACATACACACACATACATAGACTTCGTTGATTTTATATACCTCTGTGAAATATTAACCTGATTCTAGAAGTCAGAACTACATAAAAAAGTGTATTCAGAGATCATAACTTTGGGGTCCTCCTGTCCTTTCTATATACCACCCCCATTTTTAACCATGTTATTTACCACCTTAGCCCCATTCACTCTGTAGGCAACCATTCTTACTAATTTTTGGTTTGTCTTTCCTATACTTTTTGATGAGCAGATATGTATATTTTTATTTATCCTTCAATTTCTTACTAAATGGCACTGTACCACAAGTACTTTTTTGCAGTTTCCTTTTTTCACTTAACAATACAGCTTGAAAATCATTCCATATTAGGTCATAGAGATTTTCCTCATATTTTTTTTTTTTAACAGTAATGGTATTCCATTGTGTACAAGTGCCATAGTTTTTTCAACTATTCTATATATAGAATACATATTTTCCAAATACAATGTTGAAATTAATAACCTTCTGTATATATGCTTATGTATTATTCAAGATATATCTTTAGGGTAAATTCCTAGTAGTGGAATTGCTTGAGCAAAAAGACAAATGCGTATGTAATATTATTAAATGTTGCCCATTTTCTCTCCAAAAAGTATGGACTAAATTATGTTTCCATCAGTGCGTGGCAGTGCCTGTTTCCATGTTGCCTCACAGATGAAATATGTTTTCTTACTTTGATTTTTACCAATCTGCTAGGTGAAAAATGTAATCTCAATGTATTTTTTAATTTATTTTTTCAAATACATTTGTCTCTGCCTTCCCCCCACCGCTTTCCCTTGCCCCCTCCCCCCATATTTTTAATTTCCATTTATTTTGAGTAAGAGCGACCTCTTTCTTAACTCTAGGACTATATAAAACAAGGCCACAAGCCAGATTTAACCTGTATTCCTGGGTTGGTGACTCCTATTTCTAGTCTATTATTTGGCTTTTTCCTTTAGGTATTCCAGATTTGTATATGTTCTTTCTTCTTTGCTTATGTTTGATTTCAACCACTTTCTCCTTGGCCCTTCTTTACTTTATCTCATTTTATTCTCTTGGCTGTTTTTAGTCTGTCTTTAATGACCCTTACTGTCTTTTCATTTGATACTACTATTCTTTAGGCATCCTGTAATTTAGTCTTTGTTTCTCAGTTTATTTTTGGTCTTTTTCTTCCCTTTCTTTCCTGAAATCATTTAACTATCTCTTTATTTCTTTTTACTGATTTGTTTTTTCTGTTTTTCATTTAGAATTTTCTTTTCTTATTTCCAAATGCTTATTTGAGGACAAGTAATTGAGTTTGGGGTGCTGTATGAGTTTTTTTCTCCTTTATCACTGTTTGGGGGAGGTAGAAGCAGATTTTCATATACTAAGATGTTTTCATTTCAGTTTCTTTGTCTTCAGCTTAATTACTTTGCACATATTTGGCTTTTCTTGTTTACTCATTCAGTGTATTATTTTTCCTTACAAGAATTTTTTAGTTTGATTCCCAATTGTTCAATGCAGAAACAAAGTTTGACTTCTTCCTTTCTTTTTCTATAAATTTATTTTTTAAGTATATTTTTTTTATTATAGTATTACATTTGTCCCATTCTTTTTCTCTCCCTCTTATCCCCCTCTGCCCAGTACCCCTTTTCCCTCCAGCATCTCCCTCCATTACTCCATGTCCATGGGTCGTACATGTAAGTTCCTTGGCTTCTCCATTACCTATACTGTTCCTAACCTCCCCCTGTCTATTTTGTACCTGCCAATTATGCTTCTTTCTCCCTGTACCTTTTCCCCTGTTCTCCCTACGACCACCCCATTCATAACCCCCTGCACATGATCTCCATGTATATGATTCTGTTTCTGTTCTAGTTGTTTACTTAGTTTGTTTTTGTTTTTGTTTTTTTAGGTTCATTGTTGATAGTTGTGAATTTGTTTTCATTTTACTGTTCATAATTTTGTTCTTTTTTTACGTATAAGTCCCCTTAATATTTCATATAATAAGGGTTTGGTGATGATAAACTCCTTTAATTTTACATTATCTGGGAAGCACTTTATATGCCCTTCCATTCTAAATGGCAACTTTGCTGGATAGAGTAATCTTGGGTGTAGGTCCTTGTCTTTCATGACTTTGGATACTTCTTTCTAGCCCCTTTCTGCTTACAAGGTTTCTTTTGAGAAATCGGCTGATAGTCTTATGGGAACTCCTTTGTAGGTAACTGTCTCCTTTTCTCTTGCTGCTTTTAAGATTCTCTGCTTATCTTTAATCTTGGGTAATTTAACTATGATGAGTCTTGGTGTATTCCTCTTTGGGTCCAACTTGTTTGAGATTCTCTAAGTTCCTGGACTTATATGTCTATTTCCTTCGCCAGATTGGGGAAGCTTTCTTTCATTAATTTTTCAAGTAAGTTTTCAGTTTCTTGCTCTTCCTCTTCTCCTTCTGGCACCTCTATAATTCAGATGTTGGAACATTTAAAGTTGTCCCTGAGGTTCCTAAGCCTCGCCTCATTTTTTTTGTTTTTTGTTTTTTTTTGAATTCTTGTTTCTTCATCCTGTTCTGTTTGAATGTTTATTTCTTCTTTTGTTCTAAATCATTGATTCGAGCCCCGGTTTTCTTCCTTTAGCTGTTGGTTCTCTATATACTTTGCTTTATTTCATTTTGTATAGCCTTAGCTTCTTCCTTTATTTTTGTATCTATATGCAATCATTTCTGTGAGCATTCTGATTCACAGTGTTTTGAACTCTGCATCTAATAGGTTGGCTTTCTCCTCGTTGCTTAGTTCTTTTTCTGGAGTTTTGATCTGTTCTTTCATTTGGGTCATATTACTTTGTCTCACTGCCCCTGTTACGTTGTAAGGGACAGAGCCTTAGGTATTCACCAGGGCGAGACAACCTGCTTCCCTGAGTTGTGGCACTGTATGTAGGGGAGGGGTTTGAAAGCGAACAATGCCAGTTGCTCAGCTCCACCCTGCTTTCAGGAGACTGTCAGTTTCTTCCACCACCACAGCCCCCAGGTTTTTACAACCAGAGGTTCTGAGGCTTTATTGTGCCTGCCCTGAAAGCTGGGTTGCATGGTCTGTCTCACTCCCCAGTGATTTCTCCCCATTTAGCTGCATGCAAATGTGGCACTGCCCTGTCCACCAGCCACCACCTTGCCGTGAGTCCTCTCCACCCCTCCTACCAGTCTGGATGAGTGTTTCTTTAACTTCTTCGTTGTTGAACTGCCATACATCTCGATTTTCTGGCAGTTCTGGTTGTTTTTTTATCTTTAAATTGGTTGTTTCCTTCTTTTGGTTGTGTGAGGAGGCTAAGTGTATCTACCTATGCCTTCATCTTGTCCAGAACTCCCAAAGTTTGATTTCTTTCGTTAGTGTTGGGTGTTTTTTGCTTTTTTCTTTTTTTAGGATTTTGAGTTCTATGACTTTCAGGTAGGAGAGAGGTTTTCATGTTTCTCAGGTCTCTGAATTTTGCTCTTTTGAGTTTCCCTTTGCACACTGCCACCTTGACTTGCACTCTCTTAAGTCCCTTCCCTAAAGTCAGTGCTCAGAACTGTTTCAGTTCAAGCAGCTCTCTCTTTGTGTGGTAGTGCCAGACTGTAATCATGTTCATGCAAGCTGAAATGATACAGAGTGATCGTCATCAACTGGAAAAATTAGGCTTGTTCTGTGACCTTTACAATTTTTTTCCAAAACACCAAAAACTCTTTTACTGTCAGTTATAAATGTATAATTTTTTAATGGTGAAACCGATACTTATTTAGTATACTGTAATTTAAAACATTAGCGAAATTGAGAAATAAAGTGTTTTCTTTGTAAAAAAATTTATCAAGAGTAGTTTGGACAGTGCTTTGCTTCTTTCATATGACTTACAGTGTGAAGTGGAGCAAGCATCTTTTCTGTCTTGGTAAATGATTATGCTTCTTCATAAGTTTGTATCAGCTTCCAACATTTTATTCTTTGCATTTTCATTTTCGTACTGTATCTCTGAAAGTTTCTTTTATGTGAAGTTTTTTCCCATTATTGCTTTTCTAGAATATCTTTATTCTCTTCGACACAACCACTTTCTTCACCCCTATAGATATTTTGGCTTTACTTGGTTCTGACTGTAGCACTCTCAGCATTCCTACTATGATTGATTTCAGTTTCACTTCCAGTGTTACTGCTCTTCACTCCTTACTGCACTTTCATCTTCGGTAGGCACTGTCATGACCTCTTTTGGCTATGCCTTTTGTCATATGGGTTTGTCACTCAGAGAAAAGAGACAACACAACCGCCCAGTTGTTCTATCTGCATGCACTGAATAACATTTGCAGCGACAAATTACTAACAGACTGAAAAGAGTGATGCAATCAGTCACTTGTCATGATGCATATTTATTATTTATGTAGTGATTTGTGGACGGAGGAGCTAGCAGCAAGTTTATGCAGTTCCTCATAGTTAATGTACTGTGGTTTACTGAAATTTGAGTCATATTGTGTTATTTAAGCCATGGAACCTTGAATTTGTGCATATTGGAACGGTGCAAAGCAAGGACTGCCTGTATTTCACACTTCGGGCGGAGTCTCTCTTTCAGGTAGTGAATTTAGATGAGATCTCAGACCTGCCACTAGCTTCCCTCCTCTCTCTTCTTCATGATCTTTCAGATTGCCCTTGCTCTCTGCAAACGTGTCAAGAGTATGAGAGATGGCTTGCTGATTTGATGTGTATTTTTCTATAAACAGGTGATTTGAAACTTGAGCATGTCCTCCAGCTTTGCTAAGGTTTCAGTTTTATATAGTTGTATGGTTTTGATTTTTGTAGGATATGTGGGGAGATTAAATTTTAGGCAGTCACCATTATCCTGAGCTACCCAAAAGCCTCAAAATAGATTTGTTCTGTGTTTATAATGTTTTTGAGTATGAAATCTTTACATTTTCCTTAAATGCATATATTCTTGCAAGTGGGAAAGGAATAAGAATTGACTCTTTTTATTAGGTAGAAATTGAGTACAAATAAGGTGCCATCTTAGAACAATCTATTTTCAGAATGTGCCTAATGTATGCATTTTGTAATTTAGTGTGGTGAATAAGACAAGAGCAGGTACTTGAAAATGCCTATATATACTTCTTTGTGGAAAAGATATAAAAGAGAAATAAAATTAGGTCAAGTGTCAAAAATTAGCATAATGACAATTTATTTATTTCCCTATTAAACCAAACAATGTTTTTCTTTTTCAGTCCTATGACAGTGGGTTGGCACAGGGAGCTGGACTTGAATCTCATGGTAAGGCATCTTAAAGTAAATAAACATGTAGTTTCTTTAAATAACATCGTGGTATCTTCAACATGGAGGACCCTCAGAAGTTTGTGTCAGCCCTTTGTACAGCCTGACCATTTTCTTTCCTACTTCTGTCTTTTGACACTGTTGTGCCAGTTTAAACTTCTTCTAGATCAGTAATCACTTATAAATTATTCAGACCAGAATTTTCATACAATATTTTTTAGTAATCTTTTCAAGTGTTAGCTGCACGACAGTATCTTAGGGTGATTTCTTTATTCTTTCTTTTTTTTTTTTGAGGTTCTATTTATTTATTTTTAGAGAGGAGAAAGGGAGGGGTAAAAAGGAGAAAAACTCAAAGTTTGAGAGAAACATTGATGGGTTGCTTCTCCCACACACCCCAACTGGGGACTGGGTCCACAATCCAAGCATTTGCCATGACCAGGAATCGAACCAGCGACCCCTCACTTTGTAGGACGACACCCAACCAACTGAGTCACACCTGTTAGGGCCTTAGGCTGATTTCTTAAGATATTGTTAAAAAATAGCAAGTTTCCTTCTTTGGCATAACACTAAAAGGCTAGGTGCAGAATATTAAATATGAATCAGTGAATTTGTGAAGAAATAAATTTTTATTTACTGTCTTTAATGTAATTATCCTAAGTCATAGTCATAAAACATTTTGCTGCATAAAGTGTGTTCAGTATATTGATACAATCCCTCCCTTCACATTTTTCCCACTTTTGGCACAATCGGAATAGAGAGATAACAATCACTTAGTTTGTCAGCACATCAATAGCCTGAACTCTTTCAAATTGAATATTTCCACATAGAAGTAAATAAGCTTTCATGCTCCCTTTAAAAAAAGAAAGAGGCCAAATCAAGCAGGCTCTCTTGAGTGAACTCCTTGTGTTATCTTCATCACAGAGGGTTTTTTTTGGTACTCAGCTGTTGTGCCCATCCCTCTGCTATGCGATGCAATGGAAAGAAGAGGTCAGTATTCAGGTCTCACCCCTGACAGTAGCTTTGTGATCTTGGCTCCTCACTTACTGTCTCTGAAGGCTTCCTCATCAAGAGTAGAAATAATTGTATGTTTTTTTTAAGATCATTGTTAGGATTATAAGAGATGGGCGTAAAGTGGATTGTAAACTATAAAACGTGTATAAAAAGATTTTTTTAATATATATTCCTCAATCTCATATCCTTGTACTTCCCCTGGAATCTTGTCCTATCAGGTATCTTTTTCCCCCTCTCACATCTTACTGCCTTTTTTGATGTAGGTATTTATAGAGTGTGTCACTAAGGGTGTAGAAGAGTGTCTCGGGTTTTCCTCTGAGACCACACTGTAATTAGGAAGCCATAATTCTTGTGTGTGCCTGAGTGCACCTGAGATTAGCAATGGGGTAAGCTGGCAGGACAGTAGCAGTTATGTCACCAGTCATCACTGCTTAGTAAGGGAGGATATACTTACCGTTACACAAAGAGGAAATCTGGCATTTGTAAGTATTTCCGAGAAGATGGGGTCTGCCACTTACTCTTGTAAAGGATGTTAATGGATGCACTGGCTGAAGAGATACCTTCCCAGTATAGATGTGTGGGCCCGACACTGTTGTCCCCGAGAAATTGGGATTACATTCTTAGGGATGTGAAACAGAGCGCTGTACAAACATGATACTCTCTAAGGGATCCTGCCAGGAAAAAGCCCTTGCTGAGTCACACAAGTAGTGATTTTGAGTCAATATGACTTGCCTAGGATTGTACCCATCAAGATCAGCAGTGATGGACTGTGGTTCTTGCCAAAAAGCTTACATTCTTCTTTTATCTCTAAATTCATCTTGGCAGGTTGGCAGCCTAAAGACCTAGAAGAGGGCTTCCTAATCACAGTGCTCCATTATATTGATGGACCGCAAAAGGGTTCTAGATGTGCCAAGCTATTGCTCCCTTAGCTTTTGCAGCAGCCAAGAAGGAACTGGGTGTCTGGAGCCCCTGGTAAGGGGGCCTTTGACCAGGAGCACCCTCCTCAGGACACTTAAGTATGTCATACAGATATCAGATATTCTAGTTCTTTGTGTGTTCTGAGGTTAAATAGGCTGAAAAGTACTATTCTAGAGGACTTTGGGCTAGATTTCCTTCCCTGCCTTATTTTAGCAGTATTTACACTGATAAGTAAAACCTCTTTCTAAAGTGTAGTCTTGCAGGTTGGTCACCCTGTGAAGTCATTGTATATTCCCTTTTTCTTTCCATTGTTAATCTTTTTAGAATAGTGGTCCAAATATACTGAATGCCCTTCTATAAAACTGCCTTTTCTTTTTAATTTTTTATATGAGCCTTCAGCAACTTGGGGTTTCTCTAAATTTTAAAGTCATAAATAATCTGTATTTCAAATACAAAGTCTCTTTCTCATTCCTTACTTTCTCTGTATTGAAGCTTTTGAAGTTGTTAACCTCTCACCCTTTTTCCTTGAAACATCACATTTTTCTTTTCTTGCTTCCTGACAAGTTGTTTCTAGTTCCTTCACCATTTTTGTTTCTTCTAACCTCTTTACCTTAATCTTTCTTCCTTCCTTCCTTCCTTCCTTCCTTCCTTCCTTCCTTCCTTCCTTCCTTCCTTCCTTCCTTCCTTCCTTCCTTCCCTCCTCCCCTCCCTCCCTCTCTCTCTTTTTTTCCTCTCTTTTTCTTTCTTTCTCTTTCTTTCGAACACACTATCCCTCTCTTTCCTTTCTCTTTTTCTTTTCTTTCTCTCTCTCCACCCCCAGTTAACCCTTTATACCCCTCTCCCCCCTGCCAACTTGCTTCTTTTCTTTGGGTAGTTCATCTTTCTAAATCTCAGTGCTCTTGTACTTGCTCTTTGTGTAGAATCCTCCATCCCCAACCCTAGCATATATCTGGCTTTATTTCACATCCTTTAGGTCTTGGTTTATATATTATTGGATAAGCCCCCTGTTAAAATTGCAAGCCACCCACACCCGCACACACACGCCCTATTTAGAATCACAAACCAAGCACATATACGTGCCTTATTCCCTATCCCCTTCTGGCTTTATTTTTCTCCATGTCATGTATATTTTAGCTGTTTGTTCATTGTCTGCTCACATAATGTAGGCCTCATAAAAACAGAGATTTGGGCTTGTTCTATTCACTGTTTTATCCCCCATACCTTTAATACATGTGGCACACAGTTGAATGAACCAGCAGATGGTTCTTTATCAATTATCCCTGTGTTGATATTGCTCAAACTATGTTTCCAAACGTGGTCTGTTTCTGAGCTACATAGCTCCCTTTTCTATCTGCCTGCCAGGCGTATCTACTTTGGTATCATGTCAGCATCCCAAGCTGCACATGTTTAAACCATTCTTCTCTTTTCTTCCTCCTAAGCCTGTTCTTGTTATTCAGGAATGTGGAACTACTACTACCAGATCTGCTGATTTTTCAGAGAAGCCAGAAATCCAGAATTTTGGATGTTTTAATCTCTTGTTCTGTTATTTTGTGTGTGTATATAATTTGCCAGACATACCAGTCGTCCCCTGTAAGTCACCAGTTTTTAATGTTTGATCCTTAGACTGAAAGGAAAATACTTTTTCTTATTTAGCTGCTGCTGTACCAACTACCATTTGGTCTCATTTAATCCTCATGCCAGCCCTCTGAGGGCAGTCATCTTTGTATTAGATTCAATCAAAGAAGCAAAACCCCTACAAATATTAAAGAATAAGGGTTTATTACAGGAATAAGATTTTACTCAGTTGCAGGTAAAGATGGAGGAGGAGCAAGGACCTGAAATAAATAGTTGGCGGATTGCAGAAAAGTCACTGACAAGCCCTTCTGAAGCACTGACACGGGTTGGCCAGTGAGACCTTGCAGGGGACTCTGGAAAGCCAGGTACATCCAGCTGCCAGAATGGTGGAGTCCGTGGAGGGCTATTGCTCCTGCATCCGTTAATGAACCTGGTGTCATGGAGGCAAGAAGTAAGAAAAATTTGGATTCCAAGTATATGGGAGTATAAGATCAAGCAGGAATCTACCACCACCTCTGCCTTTGTCTCTTACATCCCCTAAAACAACCAAGGCAGTGGCTGCTGCTTCACTTCCACCTTACAAATCTTACACTGATTTCTCTAACTTAAGGCCATACAGGAAGTTCTAGCTTAGCCAAGTTATTACAGTACAAAACCACTGCAATAATTATTGTCATTCACTCAGAGACCTTAAATATAGGCTGAAGAGAGAATGTAATGTATTCCTCAAGTGTTCCCACATGCCTTTTCACCTCTGAACTTTGCTAATACTTTTTTTTTTTTTTTGTCTGAAATGCTTCCCCATTCCCCAACCCCCTACCTGCTTTTCCTTGTTTCCCTTTCCTTAACCTTCAGAGTTTTATCTCTCTTTCTATGCCTGGTTCCAGTGTTACATTCTCTGAAACTTCATCATCTGTTGTGATTCCCCTGCCCCAGCCCTGAGTAATTTCTCCCTTTTCTATATTTCTGTAATACTTGGGTCATACCATTTTCATGACGCTTACCTCAGTTTACTTGATTTTCTCTGCTAAAGCTGATTGTGTCTTACTTTTTGTCTTATTCCATATGTCCTTGGTTGTAATGGTTCAGTAAGTATTTAATGAATTGGTTATCCTATATTCTATATCTCAAAGCTAAGAAAGCTAAGTTTGTGATATGTACTGCCACAGTTAGGTGATAATCAAGTTCTTCGTGTGCTTTTCTTACTAATTCTGCAGTCTGAATGTTATTTAACACACTTTTTGTTGTTGTTGTTCATGCATTCTTCTCCAACTACTGCCTAACCTGGAGACTATTTGTCATGAAAACTAAACAAGCATGTTATACCATTCCAGGCCATGGTCATGTGATGAACCTATTTATCCTAGTGATTCTCATGATAGTATAGTTCGTGTTTGTGAGAGTTGGATTTCCATGCTTTTCTAGGATTAAAACTCTTTGTTCTCTCAGGATGCATAATGTTAAAGGAAAAGTTCAAATAAATTAATTTGATTTCA